GCAATTTGATATTTTCCCCCAAATCGCACAGCCCTAGTCCACACCTGATCACACTCACCTATTTGTGACTTGATAGTTAGTAAAACTGAAAACCTTGATTAGTGTGTTCAGGTGCTCTGCACTAGGTTGGAGCAAAACGCTGCATGCAAGTGGACTTTGAGACACAATGTTGATATCTCCTGCAATATATTCTGAACATGACAATTCAGAGAGGCAGGATGACTGCTAGATTGATGACTTACAACACTGGTGTCCAGTCCTGGGAATGGAGGACCAGCGTTCTGCAAAGTTTCTGGTGATCCTTGATCAGCTGCTCAGGTCTGCTTAATTGGGGTTGGCGCTAAACTCTGAAAATAGAAATAAGACAACAAATATTACGATGTTATAAAGTTAAACATTTTGATTCATAAATATGCACAACATCTGAAAATGCACAAAGTTGAGAAGAAAGCAATGTGTTTAATGAGAACTTTCAACCCACTGAAAAATAAGCAATATTAAGTCAGATGCATTTTTATTTATTCTTGTTATTCTTATTATTCTTGAAATAAGTTATAATTACCTTGTGGTTTATTGATGATTTTCAGTCTCTGAAATAAAAAAGTTCTATCAATTATGGATGGCATCATACATACATCATATGTAACGATATTTAATATAAGTTCTAACACCGTGTCTACAACGGACGGCGCAACAAAATACAATAGAACCTATTATAATCAGTGATGCTGTTTACACTGGATGCGGCGCGACACAAATCCCTGACAGTAAACTGATGCCTCGTTCTATTTATGATGTACTGACACAAAGTTCAAATGATTTTTAACAGTCACTTTGTCGCATCCAGTGTAGACACTGTGTACGAGTGTGTAGCTTGGAGATAGAGAATGGGAATCTGCATCACTGTTTCGACAGGAGATACGCTCCAACTCTAGTGCACGGCCATCAGCATGGAAGAATCTAGGAACATAAACAATCTGTCAGAGTCAACTATATTTATTATACAGTGCCATTGCCAGGTTTATTCTAAACTATAGCAGAGGTGAAATCCAGAAAATCAAAATAATAATTTACAGAATATACAAAAAAGGATTTAATAACAGAATGTACACTTTTAGGTTTACTTATTTAGTAATGCTCTTACAGTGTTACTCATGTTTGGACATCAAAGCCCTTTTAAAATAACTAACAAGCAAACACACACAAAAGAAAATTACAGATGCATGGTGATATAGGCGAAAGATGTTGTGAAATATGCATATAAAGTTATTTAATAAGCTTTCTCAGATCACCTGTGTTTTCTATATCTCTGTCAGCAGCTCCCTTCAGAAATGTTTAAATCAGGAACTTCTCCTGTGTCGTAGAGTTGTTTTTTTTTCGCTTCTGAAATCACAGAACAAGTGGTATCAATATGTGTTTACCATGAAAGATCAAAACCTGTTTTAAAGAGGTCATATGACGTTGCTAAAAAGAACATTATTTTGTGTATTTGGTGTAATGCAATGTGTTTATGCGGTTTAAGGTTAAAAAAACACATTATTTTCCACATAATGTACATTATTGTTGCTCCTCTATGCCCCGCCTTTCTGAAACGTGCCAATTTTTTACAAAGCTCATCGGTCTGAAAAGCGAGGTGTGCTCTGATTGGCCAGCTATCCAGGGCGTTGTGATTGGCCGAATACCTCAAGCGTGTGACAGAAATGTTACGCCCCTTACCA